TGTGTGTGTTTGTGTGTGTGTGTGTATGTGTGAGTGTGTGTGTGTGTTTGTGTGTGCGCACTGCAATGCAGAAGGTCTCCAAAATACAAGTACACAGTACAGCCTCTCTATAAAACAACATCATCGGAACCAGAAAACATGTCGTTATAGAGAGGCAACCAAAAATTACCAATGACATAAAACTAAAGGAAAAAAAATCGGGATCTGGGCACCTTGTCGCTGTACGGAGGATGTCGTATATTATTTTATATCGAAGGTCGTTAAACAGAGGCTGCACTGTAACAATGCTATGCCCATGTATTGACTTGAATCGATTTCACGTGTCTATTTCCGTCATCTGTGCCTAATGTGGAAAATGTTTCTGTTTTTAAAACTTATGAGGTCTGTTCGTGAATTTAACTTTCCAATACTTGAGAATCCTGAATTCTAACATTTTAGATGGCCCAAGTCTATTTTTACTCGTTCCAATAGAAAGGCTTTCGATCTCATTGAATTGTAAGCCTACAACTACAGTCCTACAGGCTTCACGCCCATTTCAAAACTTAAAATTATGTCAAAGGTGGGACCTTTGAGTTCAGCGTCCATCTCCGATAAGACCGAGCCAGATGGGCGGAGAAGCTTAAAAACACACCAAGCTAAAACAACCCAACTTCAAAACACCCCGCTAAGGATTCGAACCAGAGCCATCAACTCAGTAGTCAAACGTGTAACAGTGTAACACAACTGAGTTTTTAAAACGATGTGTCCTTCCCGCTCTCACTCCAAAGTAACTATGGTGTACATGATAATTATTATGACGAAGATTGAACTTCTTTTTTTTCCCTCTACAAAGTATCAACACACGTGATACAATCTGCAGTTGAAAAAGTACATTAGATTGTATTTTAAGCCTACCCAGAAAGGTAACCTACTACTGGTGACTTATCAGTGCTCTTGGTCCGTGATACAAGTAGGCAATCATGTTCTAGTTTTAGTAGGAGTGTGGCATTTGCAACACAAACATTAGAAGGTCATGATATAAGCCTAAAGTGATTAACTTTAAAGGTGTTACTACAAAGTAACGAAAGAATGGTGGGAGTTAAGAACGATCAATGGATGGATGTTTTAAAGCGAAGAAGGAGCAAATCACACCCAAGTAGGCCTACCCACCTACAACCCACTGCATGGGGCAGAAATTTGAATAAAATTTAACACACTTAATGTTGTTTTTCACTCCACTTTTAACATTACGGGGACAACTTGTGCGCCCCCCCCCAAAAAAAAAAAGAACGAATAATGACAG